CGAGGAAAAAAAAAAAAGAAAAACTTCTCAGAATGGATGAAGACCCCTTCTGTCAGGACCTCTGGCTGCTGGTCCACAGAGCAACACTGCAAATACTGCCCACTGATACCAGACTCTGCCTTCAGATTTCAAAATATCTGGCCAAGCTTTTCTAAGTGAGAGACACATTTCAAAACAAACATGTTTTTCTGCCTAAGTATTGAAGCACCTGGTAGAAAAAGCAATTATGTAATTTTACCATTTTACCCTGTCACATAAGCATCTAAAATACAGAAAGACAAGCAACAGGTAATTTCCCTCTATGACCAGCCCAAGTCATTCAAAAAGGAGTCAGCTCCCACACCTTTATGACATAAGTTTTAAATTATTTATTCATGTTTGCCTTCCGTCCTTTTCATAATTCAGTGGCAATTGAGATTTTTATGTTTTCATTTATTGTGATATCACATCTGTTAAGCAAAACAACAAATTATTGTGAGGCTTTGCACAAAGTCTTGTAAGCTGGAAATACTAGTAGTTGGTACCTTGATCCAGTTTACTTCTGAGACTCAAAATGCCATTAAATAGCAATAAATATTTATCCCTATTTTTTGGTAATTCAACCAAGTAGCTTATGCCTCTGTAATTTCAATAAAATTTAATAGAAAAACTGAATAAGTTGTTTTCCTACTAGAGAGCAAGTGATGTAATTTTTAAAAAACCCAAAACCCACTAACCACAAAACACACTCTGAGTGTCTTCTGTGGACTTTATAATGCTATTCTTGACTAATAATCTCAAATAAATGTTATATTTATTATCTGGTTTTCAGTGCTACATAGTAAAAATACATTCATAGAAGACTTCCAGTATTAACAGGTAAGGATGCTGAGGTCATCTCTTCCCTATACCACTTCAATTTCTGGAACAAAAAAAAGAATTAATTCTAGATGTACTGAAGTAAAATCAAATGCACTCTGAATGCACAGAGAGGTTGCAGATGGCTGTTAGGTCTTCTCTGATTGTTTTTATAATTTGTTTGATGAATTTGATAGCAGATTAAGTATTTTATGCTCAGAATCTCTGCAAGCTCTAGATATTTACCCTTGTTCTTTGAGGAGCAGAGAAGCCAAAGGCAGGCAGTCCCTAGCCACAGGCTTTACACTGGAGACATAACCCAAATTTACAGGATTAAAAAAATTAATAAAAATAAGAATAAAGAGATAGTCTGTTCAAACAGCACAAAAATGCAAAGCACAAAGAGGATTTAAATGTAAACTTGATAAGACGATACACAGAGAACACCAGTTTGTTTATCATGGTCCACCTCAGTGGCATTCAGTAGCTGTCCTGTTGCATTACTGATAGGCAACAGTGAAGCACTTCTAACACTTGTGCTTCTTCCTGTAAGGACTACAACACATTTGGGCAACAGCAGGATACAGAGACTGCCATCAAGTCACTGCTTGCAGTGCAACCTGCATTTGTCCATATAGATTTTATGTTAAATCTTGACAGGCATCTCTAGTTTGTCAAGGATGCACACTGGCTTTGTTCAGAAGTGGGACACAGCTATGTGATCATCTAAACTCAAACCAGTTTCAAGGTCTATGTATAAACTCTCTGTGGCACCACTCCCAGTTACAACTTAGCAGTCATATCAATCCTTCAATCACAGTGTGCTCCCCAAGCCATTGCATAGCAGGACATATTACACAGTGTGATGGTGAGGGGGCTGTCAGCCAGATGGTTTGAGCAGCTGGCTTTGAATATAAACCACACATCGAGTCCTGCACTTCCCTTCAGAAACATAGTGATGGATCTATATATGTATAACAGATAAAATAGTCAAATGGGATTTTGAGAAGGGCAATTTCTCTTATGCCAATCAAATACAGTGAATGACAAAAAACCCCATGTAGTTATTAGTACCAAGAAGCATTTCTCTCACCCGTACTCCCAGTACACCTATTTCCTGCACAAATCAGAGGACCTAAAGCTAGACATGTCACCCATAGTATAGTAGTGCCATCCCTGAGAAATGCAGAAATACTATCTCAGCTGAAGATACTGGGGGAACTCTGAAGACATTGGTTTGGATTGAAGAGACTATTCAAGCCAGAAACCATATCCTGCCTGCCTTTTTAGATCAACCAAGAAAAGCTGGGACTGAGGTCTGAATTTCAGGTGGTCACTTTCAGTCCCATATCTGTGTTAACAGAGATTATACCTACTAGAACACGAACACAGAAATAGGCAGTCTTCTCATTGTACGTGCCAGGTTCAGGTAGAGACTTGTTTGTGGTATGTTTACCATCAGAGATTTTGTCACCAAAGATTTGCTTTACATAGGGTTTCTTATCTTTGAAAAAGAACTACCTCACTGTGACAATGTGAATGTCAGAGTATAGAAACTAGGCCATTTCTGATGGCTAGACTGAGAGGCAGAGCATGCTGAGCTAGGTTTCTGTTTATTGTGGTAATACAAATGCATCTTGGGTATATGTGTGTGCTGAAAATACCTTTTAAAAATTAAACACTAGTTTTCCCATCTTTGTGTTTCACTCTTAAATTTCAAGCTTCTTGTAGCAGGAATCATACGTTATCAGTTTTATAACATCATAATAGATGCTTTTGAATGTTCTTTTTGCAAGAAGCAAACAAAACTGCCTCTCATTAAAACTAATGCTTCATAACTCTCTCTGAAGGTTATTCCAAACTGAAGGGCACGGGGCAATGATATCAAAAGATGTCCACATCAACAGTTCCTGGTGTGAGTGACCTTCAAAACAAACATGTAGGATGGCAGTTTTGTTGGTGGCATTGCCCTCTCCTGGCCAGCTTCAGCATAACCCTAACCCTTGTACTTGCCCCTGTTGTTTTGAACAAGGTGCATGACAAAGCCCTATTACTGCTCCATTTCCTGTTGTGATGAGACTGTGGTGTCACAGCAGCATCACCAGTATCAACACATAAGCCTTCCTTCAAGACTTCTGTCCAAGGGTTTTAAGCACTTTATCAACATTCTCTGATTGTTTCTCTTATCAGCTCTTGAGAAAGAGAGAAAGATCAATGGCCACAGTTCAGCTCTTGCTAATAAATTTTTTGTTGGGGAAATAAAAGCAAGTGAGGCTGATTCGGAAACAAAGGCTATGAGGCTTGTGAGGCCATGACTGCAGTAATAGCAAAAAGAGCTGTTTAATGCAACTAATGCCTTTGTGTCATTGTGTGTCCCCTCCCAACTTCCCCATCAAGCATCCAAAACAGAGGTCAGACACAAAAAGGACTCCTGGAAACTCACAGAGGTTGCAGCAGGCTGTGATGTGTGTCGGGGCACCATGTCCATCAGAGTTCCCATGCTGGATGCCACAGCTTAGCTCAGGGCCAAGCAGAATGTACCAGCACACCTTTCCCCTTGAAGCCTGAGGGGAGAAGCAAACGTACTAAATACAATGGAAATGATTTTCTGAGAGGGAGAACAGACTTACCAACAAAATATCTGAATATGAAACAAATGAGGAAAGTTGCCACCTTCTTTCATTGCCTGCAGAAAATATATCTAAGGGCTACAGTCTTAGGGCAATTTACAAATTTTGTATTTTCTTCCACATATAAAGTATGTCTGGTGGACAGAATTCCCCACATGTAAAAAAGATTCCTGATTACAATGGCTTACACTGTGCATAGGATCTAATTATATCTTCCAATTTGTTGAGGGGCAATCCAAATTCAACAGAAGTCAAATATGCCAGCCAAAACTGTACTTGTCCCTAGTGTCAAATATTCAGGGTATTACTTGATTCAGTGCATTTAGCCCAGACAACAAGATTCACAAGTAATTTTAGGGAACAATTCCACATACAGACATTTATATTTAGGAATTCTCTGGCAATCCATATTTTCTTTGCTTGGTCTTCCTTTAGAAGTCTGGAGTGAAGTCTGGTGAAAGGAAAGGTGGGGGAGTTTGAAAGAGTTAACAGAACGGATAGTGGTAAGACTCCTTGAGAAACACTGAAAGACAGTAGGAATCGCTGGGTTTAATAATCATTTAAAGGTGGGCAGGAGTGTAGCCCTGAGGCAGATGGTCACTATTATCTTGGTTTCGTCATCCCGGTACATCTCTAGGGACCAAAGGTCAGGAGTAGGACAGGACAGGTAGCAGAGGCAGACCCAAGGTGATTTGCTGCATCTGCTCAGGGTGGAGGTATTTCAGAGCCGGTTTGGTAAAGCGGCACAGAGAGCGAGTGAGCAGGAAGGCCATGAGGTGTGGGGTTAAGGATCAGAGGCCTTGGGGTGGCTGTGCGGCCCCAGGTGTCTCTGGAAGCGGGGTCGGCCCGGGGCGATCGGAGCCTGGGGACCCCCAGGAGCAGGGCCGGTTGGGGGAGACCAGCTATGGGCAATGGCAGGCCCGCGGTGGGGCACTGGGGTATCGGGATCCCCCGGAGCCAGACGGTGCCGGGGGCTGAGGAGCCCCGAGGGAGGGGGTGGCACAGGGAACGCCAGGGCCCGCGTGGAGTGGGGTGCCGGGCCCGCCCCACCACGGCCCCGCGCCCTGCAGCCCTACCTGCGCCCACTCAGGCCCGGCCGCGGCGCGTCGCCGCTCACCATGGGGACGGGGGCGGGACGGAGCGGCCCCGCGCAGGCTCCGCCCGGCCGGGCTGGGCCCGCCGGCAGCCGCCGGAGGGGAGGGCCGCGACTGCGGGCCCGGGGAGCTGGCGCTCGGAGTCTGCTGGTCGCTCTCCTCTGGCGTGTTTGTCCGGTGGTGTGTACCCCCACATCGGGCCGGAGAAGGGTGAGGAACCCTCCGGCTGGGTGGCCTCCAGGCCCCGGCTCTGCAGGCCGTCACCCGGGCCTGCGTCTGCGTCCCAGGGCCCAAGCGCAGCCAGCGGGCAAAGGCCTCCCCAAAAAGTGCAAATTTCTTAATTAAAACAAAAAAAGTACATCCTTAATGTTCAAGGAACATTTGATACCTTAGCACTCATTTAACACCTAAACATAACAACCTGGGGAAACACAGGAGATACACCATTGGAAGCTTTTAATATTCAGTGCAAAATCAAGTCCTTTAGAAAGATCCTTATTGCAGAACATGTGGCTTTCACATTTTACCTAGTCAATGCCTGGTAAACAGACAAAATGGCTGTACTACTGTTCCTCTGCAAAGCATTCGATTAAGATACGCTGTACTTCAGAAACACCACCAAGTACTAGCTAGGGATGGAAGCTGGAACTCCCAGGCGCTGAGGCACTCATTAAAACATAGTTTCTACCGTAGCTCCCATTTGTTCAGAATACAAAAGGGCTGATCCACGGGTCAACAGAACTAAGTGACCTGACTGAGTCAAAGCAAGTTCTTCAGAGCCAAACCCAGTCCTACTTATGTCCATGGCAAAACTGGTTTAACTTGATGGATGTGCAAATTTACACCACTCTGGGCCCAGGAGCTTGACCTTTGTGGCTGTGCAGCTAGCTGTCTGCAGCCCCAGCTCTCCTGTTGGGTGAGGAAAAACTTCAGTACCACAGAATGTGCATGCCACTGCAATAATGGGCTGTTTTCACTGAAACTGTTTTTAAAAATGACCTATTGGAATCTGCACCTTCTAGAAAACCCCCCATCTCCTGAACTATAGTTCATATTTAATAATGTTTCTAAAAAATCCATTTTCTTCCTATGATGCAAGGAGCTTGAGTAGTTCTTTTCTAGTTCTTGTACCAGCAATTCAGTGCAAGGAGGTACATAACTGCTGCTCAGCATGAACCAGATCTGGCAGCCAAACTGAGTGCTGGAATGTCCCGTGACTCCCTAACACACTCTTGTAAGTAAATCCCGTGCCCATTCAATCCTCCTCAGTCAAAGGACATGTTTTCGTGCTGGGCATGAAGTACAGAAAGGAACTTGGAAGAGCAGAAAGAGGAATCCTTGGCACTCAAAAGGACCAGCCCTTCCAATAACATAATTATGTACCTATTATAAATGAAGGGCCTTCTATTGCAAACCCTACAACAGCCCCACTGAGGCCAGCTGGATAGCATAGGCAAAAAACCCCTTTTCAGGTAGAAAAATATACTGTATCCATTATAAAAAAGGGGCCTTCTCCTGCAAACGTTACTCTGGCCTTACAGTAGCCCTGCTGAGGTCTACTGGATAACATGGGCAAAAAGTAGAGAAAATGTTGGATTGGTCCTCAAAACACTTCCATTTTATCAAACACTGCCCATACCAGCTTTATTATTTGTAACGAGCAGGAACTCCTCCATGCTTCTTACATTTAGTTGAACCATAATATGCAAAATTTTGTATGCTTATAAAATGTACCAGGATGTCCATTTTTAAACACTGACAATAAACAGGTTGTCCCACGATCTGCATTTAGCTATGCAGACCATTATTTAGGAACAGAATGTGCCAAGCATTGATTTAGTGCCTGAAGATACTTCTTGGGAGCCCTGTTCAACTGCCAATGCTGCAACTGCCAAGTTCAGTCCAGTGGCAGAAGCCTTTTGGATAATTGCTTTACTGCATTACTAACACTATTATAAATCCATAAATAAACTCTCAAAGGTGTGTCTGGGGGGGTTAGCAGAAAACAGCACATGGTGTGCGCTCTATATTACTGGGTTTTATAACTAAAGCTGACAGTACAAAATGAGAAAAAATGGAGGAAAGGTCCAAAGCCCTCTCTAAAGTTGACCAGGATTCATTCCCTCAGGCATGCAGACAGCTGCTGTACTCTAAGGACTGTAAAACTGCCCTAAATATAGGCAGTGGCTTTTAAATGGCTGCTTTGCAGTTAAATTGAGAATTTTCCTTGTTTTGTTTACAGTCAGAGCCAAGAGCTCGCTGCTCACTTCTGTGCATGTTGGGGTAAGGATGCATATCTGTACAGCCCTTCAGTGAAAGAAGTTGTTCTGTACTTCTCCGTTAATTCTGCATTTCTGGCCTTGGTTTTAGTGTGCTGTGCATGGTTATAGAATACTGCCTTTTGAGAAAAGGGGACGCACATAGTGCGTGACTGCAGTTACACTGGCAGGTGTTGGAGGAAGATATTGCAGTAGATACTGTTAAAGGCTTCATGCCATTTCTTCACAGTATCATCCACATGTCATTCTGCACATTGCAGAAGTTTCTTGACATAAAATCCTGTGGGAACATCTCCCTTGTTCCACTATCAAATCCTGTATGCCATGTTTCCAAATCCATCTACAGAGCAGCATGCAAATGGTCCTGTGTCATAGCAGAACTTTCTCACTGCAGCTCTGAGCTGTGGTTTTAGCCTTCATCAGCCAAGGAACAGCTCTGTCTTCTCACACTTCTGAGAAGAAATTAGTTGCCAACTTCAGAGGCAACTCATCCAAGGGGAAGAGGTGTTTTTTTTCAGCAGAATCAGGTAGGAAACTACTCATCATGTGAGAATAAATATGTCTGTGTCCTCCAAAGAGAAATGCAGGTGGAAGACACAGCCTCTCTGCACTTTCAGGGAGACGATGTGTCCATGAGGTTAGCTTGCCTCTACAGCATCTTAAGTCTGTGAAATCCTTTTGCTACTGAAAGAAGAGGGGACCAACAGGCTTTTTATACCAGGGTCCCATTCTTACTGTCGTATTTCAGCCTGGGCCGGGGGAAGTTAAGGGTGGCATACTCTGTGGCATTCTGCATTTGTAAGTTCTTCACCTCTGCTGCAGAGCGCTCCCGGACTTTGGTGAACACTTGGATGTCTGCGTAATGAATGCTGTCATCCTGCTTCATGCTCTTGGGTTTACTCACAGTGGCATAGACAGGAAATTCCGGGACATCTTCATATGTTGGAACCTTTGGGGAGAAAGAGTTCTGGAAGGTCAGCTCCCTGGGATGCTGCTACACATGCCTTCCCCAGACCAGGCAGAGATGCCCTGCACGCTGACCCCAGGACCATCCAGCCCTTTGACACCTCAGGCTCAGAGAGAGATTTCATCCTACTGCTTCCACTGCACTTTAGGGAAAAAAAATGCGCCTGCATCACTGTGCAGCAAGGCACATTGTTCCCAGAGCCATTAAAGCCTATATGGGATGAGATGATTCATGGCTCTGAATAAGCTGCCCCATGTCCTCCCAACCCATCTAGCCTAGGAAGTAGTGGTCAGCTCTGTCTTCTCAATATACAGTTAGGAAAACAACTCCAGGAAGCTGTTTACCTTCCTGCCAAGCTGATGCTGTTGGCTCTCATGTCTGACATTAGTTCCTGAAAAAGAAACACCAGCAGATCAGGTTAATACAACTGTTTATTGTTCCACCTTTGAATGCAGAAATGCAGCGTCTGGTCCATGGGCTCTCCCCACTGAACGCAAATCAAATTTCCACCTCATCTGACACCCTCAACTCTAGTACTGTCTCTGAGGCCCGCCTCCAAGAAGAAAGCATGGGCTTGTTTCTTTGGAAAAAATAAGGTTTCCTAGGATGACAACATGCTATGGACCGCAATGTTCTTGGCAGAACCTAGGAGGACAGACCCAGCACAGAGAACTTCTTTGTCAGGCCTTTGGAGAAGTCACATCCAGTTTTAACTTTGTCATTTCCTTTGCTGCCTGGCAAACATATTTTGTCCAGCACGGTCCAAAGGCTACAGGACACAACTGGGCTACTTAGGGAATGCACTTTATTCTAGAGGACTGATGTCAGACGCATGTTTGCAGCTCTTCCAGGAGTTTGATGCAGCTTCTGCTGTGCTGCCACTTGAGAGTACTCGTATGTGTTTTGATGTGAGACTTTGGTATTTTAAAGATACTGCTGAAGTCCCTTCCCTCCCTCTTGCCAAGTCCCATGGCACATCACACCCCTTGCTTTAAGTTTTAAATAAATATTGCCTCTTGCTTCTACTAAGCTTCTCTTGAGGCAGTTTAGGTACAAAAGAATATGGGAGGGGACCTCAACCTCAAGGATAGGGATCCAATTCACAGTCAGTACTAATGTCAGCTAACCAGGGGTTCAGTCACTCCACCACTTCTTGTCCTCTAAAGCATTTTCACAAATCCTTACCTTGCTTTTCTTTCTTTTTCTTAAAAGGTGAAGAACAGTTCCTGAAATCAGAGAAAGATGTCAGCCCTGAGAAGCCCCAGCCTCTGCTCTCACAACATGCAAACCCAAATGCACCACCCCAGGGTACCACATCTGTGGGTAATGAGAAAGGCCCAATAAGTGCCTCAGAGAAGAGCTACTGAGACAAGGCAGAACCCGCGTGACTCTTGCAAGGGAGAAGGTCCAAAGGGGAGATGAGGAGATGTGTTTCTTTCTTCTGTGGCATACCTATGATACCCCACAGACAGCCCCCAGTCTCCTTGCCTTTCAGCCCTGCCTGGCCATCCAATATGCGTACGCATTAGAGTGAATGAGAATAGATTTCACTGTAGTTTTGCAACTGCATTTCCATAGCTGTATGATCAAAGATGTAGGATGCATCTCAATTGACATGAAACTCTTCTCTTAGGGTGAGAAGCTCTGATAGTCCCATATTCTGCACTTTGGCCCTCTTGCCCAAGGAGCAGCTCTGCATAGACTTTGTGCTAATTTAATGTTTCAAAGAGTTTTTCCTGTTCTCAGTTTTTCACTTAAAATGCAACCAAACCAAACAAGCTATGCACTTAATATAAGCCAAGCCAAACCCTAATCTCATCTGTACCTGTGTGACCGGAAAGAGACAGGCCAAATACAGCTATGTTCCAGCCATGGAATGAACAGGAGCCAAATTCATTCCAGCTGTAACAACAGAGCCAGGAGCTGAGCTCCCACAGGCTGGTACTGGCAGGGGAGTGCAGGCTGTGTGGCAGAGCAGACACGTGTCACATTCTGGGCTAGATGCATGAAGGAAATGTTGCCATTGCATCAGGCTTGGAAGGCCAGAGGAGAGCAGGTGCCAGCCCTTGTATGGCTCCTCCTGCGTATGTGTGTCTGTCTGGTGCTCACCACTGACCAACACAGCGTGCAGCTGAGAGTCTCACATGGGTCTGTGTCTCTGCTGCACCACAGGCAGCAGCTGACAGTGGGCAGCTAGCGCTTTTAATGGGGCTGCAGAGTTACCAGATGGTTCCCAAGAAACATTTTATGGACCACATATTGTGCATTTGCCAGACAGTCCTGCCACGGGTGGGAACAATGCAGTGCCTGAGGCAGAGCTCTGCCTATGCTGGTTTTTAGAGGCGGTTTCACTGGACGGGTGAGCAGGACAGTGTGTGCACTAATGCCTTTGGCACTCTAATAACAAAACAAAAATACCATGAATGAGGGCAAAGAACTTGGGAGACCTTCAAAATGGTCACTAATGATTAACCAGACTTGCTAGACTTGGGAAGTCGAAGGCAGCTGTGGGGAAGGCAGGGTGGCCATGTACCTTTGCAAAAGGATCCAACACTGCTTCTTATGTCTCTGTTGTGTGCTGCCCCACAGGCACCTCTAGTCTTTGACAGACAAAATTGGGGGAGCTGCCCCCAGGAGTTAGGAGCCTAGGTCAAGGCAGCATTGCATTGTCTTGTGGTGGTTCTCACTTGGCTCTTGCAGCTTCCTCCTCCACTATATGAGCTTGTGGCGTCTCCAGGGCCCTCTTTGCCAAGGCTTGTGTGCTAGAGCACTTTGCTTCTTTACAGCATTCAGGCAGGTCATGCAATATAATTAAAATAGCACCATTTGAAGCAAAATCAGCAGGGTCCCTATCCTCTTTTCTGGGGCGTAGGTTACAGTATCAGCTTTCCAAGCTGCTCTTGATTGTTTTTGTTGCCTTCCTTTGTAGAGAGAGCAGTAGCAGCCAGTGTGTAGGCTGCAGCTATTCTAAGGCTGTCTGCAGGCTAATCACAGACAGGCAGGAGCTGGCACCTCCCATCCTCAGATCTGCGGTAATTAGAATGGATGTGGCAAGGGAAACAGGAGCAAGGCAAACCTCTCCTCTCAAAACCAGGTCAAACATGTTGTAACTATCTTGCAGCCTGAGAAAAGCACATTGTCTTCTACATGACAGCACACATGTCCCTGCTCCTATATTGCTTCTTCCCCTTTCCCCATGTCACTGCCAATCTGATTTCTGCATTACACAAGCCTGCTTCCCAGTGGGTCCTGAATTTTGGCATCTTTTGCTGTCCATGCACAGCGGAGACCCTGAGTGCTAAACCAAGTGGTGAGAATACCTGGGGCCTGCCCTCCACAGGGCCATACTTGCAGAATTACCCATACCTGAGGGCACACTTTCCTCCCTCAGTAACTTTCTTCTATTAATAAATTTGCTGTAATGTTTTTTCTTTAAAGACTTCAGGAACCTTCTCAGTCTCTTGCTCTTTGCTCTATCTCTCTTAGGGCCCATTCTTTGGTAGTGATCATAACAAGGATCTTCCATCCAGGAGAAGGTGGGTGCCTACCTCCCCAGAGCCCTTTTTTAAGTCTCAGCTTTACTTAGGAAACTCACCTCTTTGCTGACAGAGCTGTGGTGCTGAGAAAATATACAGAAATAAAAGCAGTATAGGTGCTTGGAAATACCTGAACTAAAATTAAGTACCATTCTTTTTCTCTCTGCCACCAAGGAAAAGATATGAATCATGCAAACTTCTGCAGTGGTGCTTCAGTGCACCAGTCTGCTCTTGATTGTGGTCCCAAGCCCATGTTACCAACAGCACATTCCCACTTGCCTTTCTCTCTCCTTGCTCAGAGCCTGTTTGAATAGCCCATGCAGCACAGGGACAGCCTGGGAGAATGAGGCACTTCTTCACCCATGCGTTTCCATGTGCAGGACAGGGAATGATGCTCCTAGGGAGAGAGCTCTGCTTTCTCCTTGCTGCACAGTCTATGCAGCAGATGCTAGCGCTTGAGTCCCACAGGGGTGCTGAGGTCAAAAGGGTCTTTGGCCAAAGCTTTGCCCTCTGCTGCAGGAATCTGCTAGAAGGTAGTAGTGACACCACCAGCAGAAATATCATCCCAGCTTCTTACTTTCCATGCAGCCTCTGGAAAAAATCCTGTGGGACACAGGAGTTCTCGTCCAGTAGCCTTGGGGTAGCAGAATCAGATATCGCCCCAGAGGAGCCAGCCTGCCACCATGTTGTTCCCCAAATGGAACAGAAAGCTGCTCTCCTGCCTAGCCCTGCGTAGATGAATGACCTTCAGATTCTAGTTTATACTTCCTTTTGGAGGCAGAAGTGTTTGTGCATGGCCTGGCACTGTCTGGACATGAAAGTGCCACCACAGCATATGCCGTAATGGTGTTGTTTGTACTCCGGAGTCTCTGGCTTTGCCAGTCCGTGATGTGGCATGGCTCTCCCTGCCACACAGCATCAGTAGTGTGCTTGGCAACTCCAGCTCTGCTCAAGCAAACCAGCCTGTGCTCCAGGCATTCCTTGATCAGGCCCTTCTCTGCTGTAATAATGAAGCTGATGCCCTGGGTGCCTCATGAGACTTTTGGTGGGGGACATGTCAAGAACCAGCCTTCCACCTCCCACCTACACCTTCTGTTCCTAAATCCCAAACTCCTCTGCCGTCCAGCTCAGGGGTCAGGTTGGAAGGATCTCCGTGTACTGAACCTCCTTCTCTGCTTCAGCCACTAGGTGATGCCGTGCCTCTTGTAATTAGTAGAAAAAACCGCCAATGAATTCCCAATACTGTTAACAAATGCAGTGTTGTAGAGAATGTCCTCAGAGCTTCATCTGATAGTCATGCCTCTCCCCCTTGTACCATGCTCAGAGCTGAAAATATTTCCACTTGGCACCGAATGGTGCTCCACTGTGCCCTTTTTCTGTAAGCAGGAGGTCCAGGGCACAACATGAGCTGGGAGGGATTAAACTGTCATCCTCCCTCCCAGGGAGAAAGAGCAACATCATCTGAAAAATGTGGCCAGGTTTTCCCAAGCGCAAATAAAACCCAGACAGACACAGGCAGGGAGAGGGGCTGGAGGAACTGAGAGCAAGATGGGGTAGCTGACCCACAGGCCCTTAGTGCCAGCACTGCCCCAGGTGCGCCTCCCTGCAGTATGCCAAAGGGACACCTTACAGTGTCTACCTGGCTGGAGACCACTGGGACAGGGACAGAGATTTTAACTAGATCCTTCCTAGAACTGAGCTATTCTCAGCTGCTGGCATGGCTGTGGGAACCCAAGCTGCCAGTCCCAGGAGGTGCCACAGCCTATCTGGGCTGAGAGATGTGAACAACAAAGCCCCTTTGCTTCCCCCTCTCCTGCCTTTGGCAGGCAGGGGCTGCCCCAGCCTCCCGTCCTCGCCCCAGCACCTGCACAGCAGTGACCCAGTGCCCCTGCTCACTTGCTCTCAGTTTCTGTGTGAGCTGGTCATGTACAGGGCTGAGAGCCAGGCAGGAGCCCAGGCAAACCCAGCACAAGGAGGCAAAGCTTGCAAAGTCCACCTAAACTTCAGCTCAGGCTGCCCGGAACTTTGCCTGCCATCCCCATACCTGGCGGATGCTGTACTCACCATGGTCGCCCGCAGCTGCAGAGATTGCCCATGTCGCTCCTTCTTCCATGAAGCAGGAGGGTTTTCTGGACAGGGAGAACTTGTATTTCCTGGTTCCTGCTCGGCCCCTGGCTATTCCAAGGGAGTGTCTGGCAGTGTCAGATTTCTCTCCATCGCTGCAGTGACGCTTTGCTGGGCCCGTGCATGCCATCTACTGGAGGGCTTGCCCAAGGCTCTTCATGCCCCCAGGGCCTGCACTCACCTCTTACTACCCAGGGAAGAGAGGGCAAGGTAGCAGCATGCCTCCAGGCTTTAGCCCTGGGGCTAAAATTCTGCTTTATGATTTGTACAGTGGATGTCCCTCTGCTATCCCTCTCTCCCACCAGCTCCATCCTGCTGATGCCAGCAATGATGCAAAAGAGGACGGAGGAGGGACTTCAAATGTTCCTGAACAAAAGGAAGATCATCAGGGTGAGAGCTCTCAGTGCTCTTCCTGCTGTTCATCATTGCATCTCAAGCAGGATGTCAGAAAATGTGTGGCATGGGCTGGCATCATCTGGAAAAGAGAGTGTTTCTTCTTGGGAGGGAGGTGATGCCCCAGCAAAGGTGAGAGCAGGCTTGCAGGTCTATTTTCAGATGAGCCTTAGGGCTGCTGCTTCTGTTGCAGGCAGAAAGGCATGTCAAACCTCAGGGACATTACTGGGAATTCATTTTTTTTAAAGCTACCTCGATGAAAGTGTACAGACTTGTGCTTTTGAGAACGACAGAATTCCATGAAGGAGCTCTCATCATTAAGGACCTGCAATACAACAATTAGGCTCACTCCTCAGCATGTCAAACAGGAACATTAATGTGCATTTTACCTCTCTACTCCTGTTGAGAGCCCTTCAGACTGTGGCTGGTCATTCCTGGACTGAACAACAGATTGCTGATCTCTGGCAGCTCTAAAAGAGCTGATACTCAATACTGAAAGATACCATGTTAATGTAGTCCTTGAGCAGAAATTGTGTTCCACAGCTTTGATTTGCCAGCCAGCCCCAGTTCTGTGCAGGCCTGAATGCCTCATGGGACATGCTGACAAGTGGATAAGTTTTAACTCACCCTTCTGGATGTCTATCTCAGGAACTGGCCCTAGTCCCCTACTCCAGCTGCACCTATGCTCTCAGACGGGTTCACAGCATCCTTTATCATCTGGCCAGGTGCAGATCAAAGTTTGTGCCTGTCCAGAAGTGGCAGGAAGAGAAGGGTTCTGTTTTGGAAGACTCACAGGGCACAGCTGCTCTCTTAGCTGAATCCTGGATGTGCGTCACTATGACCTGCAGAGTCTAAGTCTTGCTCCAAAACTGCTCCTCAGCACGTGGCTGGAGAAATTACACAGCTCAGCCTACACCACAGCACCTCAGGGAGAATTTAGGACTGGATTTATGCAGGCAGATGGAATTCAATCCTGGTCCCAGCTGGACCATGTTCTTAGAGTCCTGTGAAGACTGGGTGGTCTCTGGAGATTGTCTCTGATTGGGAAGTTGCCAACTGTGTGTCTCTGGCTTTGCCACAGACACTGTTGATTTAGTGAGCCAGTGCCTGTTTTGATTTCTGGGATAACTTGAGCTTTGTTGCTTTGTGGAGAAGGGGAAAAAAAAGCTGGGAGCCTGTTCCCATCAGCCCCTTTCACAAATACTGGAGCTGCTGGTTTGAGCTCCACCAGAGAAACAGAAAGGCAGCAAAAACATTAGCAGACCTGGGGAGCATTTGGCTGCCACTCTGCATTCTCTCCTTAGGCTGTGTCTGCAGGGATGAAAGAGAGCATGGCTTCCAGCGCTCCTGCTCAGCAAACCGATCAGGCTATTTTGTGCAAAGCCTGCCAGGGTGCTGACGAACAGCCCGGTGGCTGACACCAGGCAGTGCCAGTCCATCTCACTGCATCACTGCTTGGGACAGCTGTTTTCATGCACTCAGGGACATCGTCTGGGTAACAAGCTGTGCGACTGGCACAGGATGAGCCTGGAAGTGCCCAGCAGTAGGGAATGAACTTGTTGGAGTGCAAAGACAGGGCTAATAAAAGCCAGAGGGGGAACAGAACTGTGTAATGACTACTAATGCTGTGCATTTCTGTTGCAATAGTGTTAAGGTACCTCAGACACTGAGGGACTGGGATCACACTGTGATAGTTGTGGTACAGGCACACAGCAACCTGGCATTGTCTTTAAAAAATTAAGGAAAGCGAGTTCTGAACTGTTTGAGGCACTTTTATCTTGGAATCCAGTCCCTGTGCAGTCCCAGGCCTGTCCACATGCTGTTTTCAGCCCGCATTGTTTCAGCAACCCACAGCCCTTGTGTTGCAGAGTCAGATGGCATATCATTCTCTAGCATGTGCCATGGCTGCATTATGTGTGTATGTGCAGTCCTTCAGCCAGGCGCCCTCTGCCCAGCTTGCAGGTCATACATCAGCCATCCTCCCTATCCCCAGTCCAGTTTACCCTAGTGACAGGAGGCCCGCAGCGAGTGAGGGGACCATCGATCCTTCTTACCAGCACAGAAGATGGCAGATCAGAGACAAAGAAAAGCCTTTTATAGCTGCTGCTCTGAAGCAGCTGTGAGTATGAGGAATCCTTTTATGACAGGCCACTAAGAAAATTATGGCCACGCCTATACCCACACACAGACACAGGTCTCTGCCTTCACCAAAAGGATATGGCCTCGGGAACTCAGCCCTCCTGGGACTTGGGATTTGGGTGGGTGCTGCAGTGTATGGGATCCAGTATCTATCTGGTGCAGTGCTTGAGGCTGGTATGGCATGCATTGAGAGACAGAGAGAGGCTTCTACACAGGGGAGCAGTTAAGGACTGGGCTGTTCCTGCCCTTACAAGCAGCTGCTTCAGATGATTGAAAGTCACTAGCCCAGGATTATCTCTGGAATTATTATTAATGACTTAGACAAAGCCTGTTGTAAAGGTGATTTTTATTTTGACAGTGTCTGAAGTACTTACTGGTAGCACATTATCTGGTCCTACTTCATAACTAAGGGCCTCCCTTGGCAGTACAGACTGTGAGTGTGAGTATCTGATCTGCACCACGGAGGGATGAAGGCTTAGCCATCCTCCCACTTGCTCTCATGAGGCTGGCAGGCAGGGCTGCTCTTAATTTGACTCTGATCCTCATTGCTGGCAGGGGCCCTGAGAAGTAGAAAATAGATGCACAGTGATTCACTCTGGTCTGGATCCCATTTTGCCTGGCAAGGGTGAAAGATCAGCCTTATACCAGTGTTCCAGCAACTGAGGAGGTACGCTGCATGGGATAGACTCCTGAGCAGGGCATTTCTGGCCCTATGTATTCATGGAGGCAGAGCACAGAAGTCTGCAGGTCACATCACAGCAGGAAGAGGCAGAAGTTCTGTACACAGGGACTTTGGAACCTCTTCTCTCCTCTGTGGGAGGGCTGCACTGAGGCAGGTCAGGGACCCCCCATATTTGGCCAGTGACACAGCATTTTGACTGCTTTAATTGGCTCTGACAAGACAAGGATTTCAACTGGCAGCTGCTGAGCCCTCAGGGCCATCTGAGGCAGCAGCTGCCACTGACAGTAGCACACACAATCCCTGGCCCAACATCACAAGACTAAAGAGACATTTCTCATGTAGCTGGTAGCATCACGAATTCTGAAAAATGGGCCAAATTCATGCTGTCTGTGACTCCACAGAGAGTTCTGGGATGCCAGCAAGGCACTTGGGATCTGAGCAGAGCCTTTCCCTTTAGAATTTTGGGGATCACTCCCCTCAAAAGGGCTGAAAAGATCTGTGTGCAAACAAGCCTTATGTCCCATAAACTAGAGGGCTGAAGCAAGCAGAGACTGTAGCTTGGCATTTGTTTACTTGCTAACTGCAGCTGCAGGTCTGGAAATGCACAGTGAGCCTCCAAGAACCCATCGCTCTACATCTTTTCTCCTCAAGGCTACTGCCCATTGTGGGCTCCCTACAGCAGTGAACAACTCCAGGTGCATCTGAGCTGGGAGGGCCAATCACAGAGGTCCCCCCAGCTGCCCCATGGCCAGAGTCCCTCCAAGTCCCCACTGATGCCATTTCCACAGATGAGCTCAGTGTGAACTCCCCGCTGCTCTGCTCCCTGCATCTGGAGCAGCTAAGCCACTGTTCATCCTTCCTGCTGCAGAGTAGCTTGGCCAGAAGCAACATGAATCCAAGGCAAACAAGAGAAGATCAGAGGCAGATTTATTCCTCTTTCCTCCTGAGAGCTGCAGGCACTTTTACAGACCAACAAGTGCCTTCTATTTCCACAAAGGTCAACTCAGAAGTGAGGCACTGGGATCATCTTTTCCCTCTTTCCAGTACTCTTCTGGGCTAGAGCACAGCAGCTGTTTAACAGTCCACTGTGACACAGCCTCACAGATTAGGGTAAGAGTGACCCTTGCCATTTGGGGTGAGAGAAGAACATCATGCATGGTGCTCAATGAGCACTTGACCTAGGAGAAAACTTGCATTACAGTCTCTCACACTAACACTATAGTCCCCCTCTTTTTTCAGTTCCAAGTCCCTTTTTTCAGCCATCAGCCTTAAGAAGCAGAAGTCTGGCATACATATGGCTGCAAACACTGATGGTGAGAAATAGGGGTCTGGCACTGTGGATTCCCCATCCCTGTCCCACCCACCTTCCCTGTGTAAGCCCGGATATGGGGCCTTTAGGATTCTTCCTTCCCTTTTCCTTCCTCAGACTGCTCTTCTTTCCCCACTGATGGCTCCTGTTGGGTTATCTTCACCTCGTTGACTCTGGCCTTCACCTCCTTCCCTGTCCGGGGAGCCACAATGCTTAAGATGCCATCGTGGGACAATGTGGCTCTCACCAGCAAGGGATCAACATCCAGAGGGAGTATGTAGGTCCTGGTGAACTCTCGGGAGATGAAGCCATGGCGGTCAGCCTTCTGCGGGTGCTGCCCCATCACTTCCAGCAGGTTGTCTACGGTGCGGACAGTGAGCTCATCTGGCAGGAAGTGACAGACATCCAGGAACACCTGGAATTTGTGGTCATTAAGGCTGATCTCAGAGGTGCCTCGATCCAGCTGCTTATTGATCCGAGGCCTGATGTAGTAGCCATGGTACAGGACAGGGGCTAAAATCTCGCATGGAGACACACCTGAAAATGAGACTCAGTGAGGAGTGTGGGGTTTCCAGGGGAAGGAGTTGGAGAAAGATGGTTGACAGCAGATAGGGGTAGGTGGCAGGATGGGGCTCGGACCTGGCAAACACCTTGGTTTTGCCACTACATCAGCACAATATGGATGGAGTCTCTTGTGGTTCCTACCTTTACATCGCTAAAACACACACAAAGCCAGATGTCTGCCAGCCCCTGCCTCCCACCACACAGCTGGCAGCTGCCAGCAAGCCAAGGGCTGGCATCCAGCTTTTGCATGTCTGCTGGGTGGACAGGGAAGGACTGGTAGGTGCACTGGGCACTTTGCAGTGCAAACCCCACAGCCAGGGATTGGCATGGAAAATGCTGATGCTGAAGAAACTGCCTTGAAGAACTAAAGGCCTTTTGTGTGCCATTGTCCAGGGGGCTTTCCTTGGAGCTTTTTGCCTTTTCATACTGTTGTGATGGTGCTGAATGGTTCTGCTGCTGCCCACATTCCTTCCCCTCTGCCAGCCACTGCCTGGCTTTGTGCTGAACACCCCAGCTCAGCTTTTCTCCACAGCCCCCGGCTGCAACCCCCCCCCTCTTCACCCCCCCGGAACATTTTGCTCCATGTTTGCACAGCATATGCATGAATGCCAGACCATTTGGGGCATGAGAGAGGGACAGGAGAGACAGCAGTAGGCATGGATGGAGGAAGTGAACCTGAAGAGAGACACCCTGGCTATTTTCTGGATATTGCCCCCTGATTTGACCTGGGTTTTTATGCTCAAAATTCATTGGCTCCAGATTCCCTAGCCTGCTCTGGAGCTCAATCTCCCCAGAGGGACTCCACCAGCCCTTCTGCACCAGAGGATAGAAAGGTGCCAGGGGGATCCCATTCTCTTTCTTACCTTCTCCAAAGTTCTGGTCGTAGATCTTGCTAGGGTTGGCAAACTCATACTCCGAACTCATGGGGTAGGCATGGGGTACAGTCCGTGCAGCCATGGCGTGTCTGGAAAGGGGACTTTCCAAGCACTCACTGACTCTGAGAGTGAAGGCTGCAGATTGCAAGGTTTTAATTGGGCAAATTCCACAGGGAGGAGTGTGTGATAAAAAGATGGACCAAAATAGCCACGCGCACAGGCCCCAGGATGCCTCGCCAGGGTGACGAGCAAAGCTTCTCACTGCATTCCAGCAGGGAGTGGAGGCACTGCCTGCAGTCAGGGACACCTCGGGAAAATCCTGCACCTCCTCCCAGCCTCTGAGATCCCCTCCTTGAGCAGGGGGTGCAGGAGGCAAACGGGCAGCCAAGTACAGCAGGGAGGCACAGAGGTGAACTGAGGGAGGCTGAATTAGGAGAAACCAGGACAGACACCAGCTTCTGCTGTCTGTGGTGCTCCCAAAGGCAACAGCCCACAAGAAGGCTCACTGCAAACAGATTCAAGGAGTCCCTGACACTGGTCCTGCTGGTCCTGAAGCACACCATGGGGATGGGGCAGTAGCAGTAGTTAATGCTGGCTGGTACTTGATCGGGTTAAGCAAAGTCACATGAAGTCACTATCACACCCATCACCCCACTGTGAGCTTAGGGCCCAATCAGCTTCTCCTGTGCCCTGCACAAAGGAGCTTGATTTTCCCAGAAGCTGAGCAGTCTGCTCAAGCTTTTTGTTCTTATGAGTAGTGAAGTCCTTCAGGCAGTCAAGCAGGGATAGACAGGATCCAAATCCCACTACTGACACCTCTACATCCTGAACCATGCTGTTGCAAGCTGGATGTTCCCTGGCCAGGGCTTTGTCACAATGTAATGAGACTTGGAGAAATGCTTGTGACAGAGATCACAAGTTAACCAAGGATCTGAGGCTGGCATAGATACAGTTTTATTGAATGAGGGGAGGGGGGGAGGGGGGAAGGAGGGGGAGTAGAGCCCAGTTAAGCTCCTTGCACCCTGAAACCAGAGATTTCCTTGAATCCATGTCGCTGCAGTATGATAGAGCAGGTGCACTGCTGTTGATGTAATGGGGAATTGGAGAAGATATTTATGGCCTGAGCTGTTGCACTGGGCAAATTCTGCTCTCTGTTCTTGCAGACAAGCTGAGAGGTAGAGGGTCAGACCCTTTTGCAAAGGACTGCTGGCGCTAGCAGTAAGAATGATGTGCTTCTGAGCCAGTAATTGTATTTAAGTTGCAAGCTCTGAGAGGCAGAGACTAGCTCTTGCCCTTTCAGGACAGTTGCTAGGCTGAACCCATTCTCATGATTTAGGTTCACAGGCAAGGCAGGAGTTCAAATAAATGTGTGAATTAAGACGTATTAGGAGCATAATTATAAGAAATCAGCTTACTGCAAGGGCACAAGCAGACAGAGGTAGCTTGCATCCCTGAGATGGCATGTTGCAGTGCAGCAGCATCATGAGGCCGTTCACATGCCCTGTTTATCTTTGCTCACAGTCCTCTGGAGTACTCTGAGGTCACAGAATGTTAGGTTCTTCTGCTCACTCCAGCAAAATGGTTTCTGTAGTGGGCAAAAGACGAGAGGTGTTGGGCTGAAACACTGTGGAGAAAGCCATCCTTCATTCGCACACACACAGAGTGAGCATGTACTAAGGCAATGAGGCATACCACACTGCCAGAGGTATCTCAGCAAAGATCTCCAGGGATCTTTCTTGCCCTCTGACTAAAGCAAGCCTGTGGCTTCCTTTGCCTTAGGCAGAGGCAGAGCTTTTCCTAGACTGGTGGGTTATATGGGGAGCTGAAGTCTCAGTGCTGGCAGTGGGAACAATGGCCCCTTGTCATTTTTCCTGTGAGCCAAAGATAGGAGCTACATTGATCCTGCTGGCATCCAAAGCAGCTGGGAACATCCGCCAAGCCTGCCTGGGACTCTGCAGATAAACAGCACGTGGGGAGCAGGGCGGGTGGCTGGGCAGTTTGGCTTCTTGCTGCCCCATTAGGCTCCTTTTCTTCTTCTCCCCTTCCCCCGCCTCCTCGGCAGCATGTTCAAATCCCCCAGACAGCTACTGGGCACCGCTGAAGGGACCAGCCCAGGAGTGGGACAATAAAATCCCTGACACCACTGTTCAATGGGCCTCGGGGGGGGGGGTGGGGGAAGGGGGGGAAGGCCAGGCCAGCTGCATGGGTATAAAGCTGTCCCGTGCTCCCGGCACAGCACTGCAGCACAGTCGTTTGCCAGCCTCCTCCAGCGCACTCCAATGGATATCACCATTCATAACCCCCTGATCCGCAGACCCCTGTTATCTTGGTTGGCACCGAGTCGTATCTTTGACCAGATTTTCGGAGAGCACCTGCAGGAGTCAGAGCTGCTCCCTGCTTCCCCCAGCCTCAGTCCCTTCCTGATGAGATCCCCCATTCTTCGGATGCCCAGTTGGCTAGAGACAGGACTCTCTGAGGTAATCTTCCCTTCTTAATGCTCTTTGTTACTGCTGTGTGCACATCCTGATGGGTCTGGAGCTGGCGAGCCAGAAAGCTGAGGGCTTAGAAGCTGCTTGTAGATGGTTATTAGGAAAAGGCTGGGGAAAAGGGTGCTGTGTTTGTGCCTCTGCTCCTTTGCATTAGACAAGAACCTCTGCATGCTCTGCTCATTTGTGACTGAGAGCAAGTATTGCAATAGGGTTCAGAATAGAGGCAAACTGAGCTGAGTGTGTGGCAAATGACTGTAAGAGCTGATGGAAGAAAGGAGGAAGCCTAATTTTCCTGTCTGCTGTTCAAAAGTTTCAGTCCCAATCCCACCCGAGAAGCGAATGGCACATGGGTAGTGGGCAGGGGTAGTAGAATCCTCATGTCAGGCCGTGTGGGACCTCATGGTTGCTGAGGAAAAAGGGGCCTATTTTAAAGAATCACTGCTGAGAAGAACAGCATTTTAAGATATAGGACCCAAAGGATCATGAAGGAGCAGCCTGCTTGATTCAGGGGCTAAGCCAAGAGGCACACAGTTCAAACAACCTTGCCTGTTCTGCAAGTCAACTGTCTTATTTACAAGCAGCTTGTAGAGCTATTCTAAGCCAAAGGAGTCAGAGAAAAGTATTTTCTTAATCTTTGCGTAATGTTTCCCTTAATTTAGTGACCTGGGTCTGGCTGTCCACTGTAGTAGCTGTAATAAGCACCACAGATAACAATGTCTGACTAGCTCAGTGGAGAAATCTTCACAAATAATCTAGAAGGAGGAGGAAGCACCTAGACTCCCAGGTCAAACTGCAGAAACCAGTAAGCACAGAGCTGGCACAGAGGCTGCCTCCACATCCCCGAGCAGACCTCCAGGAGGCTCACAATGCTCCCTGACCATGGGTGCAGCAGGAGGGAAGAAACAGCCACCTCATATAGCAAAGTTCCACAAATGTGTCCAAAACAGACAGAAAATGCAAATTCAACCTCAAGAAGCAGCAAAAAGCAGTATTATTTAGAGGTGTTATGGTGCAAAATGGAAGAGAAGAAGGTGGGATTAGCAGCAGGTGACTCAGTTTTGGCAGAAGTCCTGCTGCTCAGATAACAGAGGTGAGCAGTGAGGCAGTACTGCTTGCCAATGACACATTATTTTGGTTACTGAAGAGTGACAGTGCAGGGGAAGACCTGCAAGCCTTCAGATGAACTGCAGTCAGCTGCACAGTTAGGGTTTCTTTTGCTTGAAAGGCTTTGAAAAATCCAGCCACAGAAAATCGAAACCTCCAGGTATTCCTTAAAAAGAATTGGATGCAAAACCCATATGCCAACTAAAGAGTCAGTTTTAACAAAATCAGATTAAGAGAATCTCTTCCTCACTCCCAAGGGAAACATTTATCCTATGCGTTCAGGAGAAAGTATTCACATTTTAGATACAGTAGTGATGGGCATTAATGTAACAGGCCAGCAAGGGACAAAGCCAGGCAGATCAGAATCCCGGGATCAAATGAAGGTTGGACAGTGCATGTGTAGATGCCAGCTTGAGTCTCGAACCACTATATTCTGAGAGCCTTTTTAAGATGAAACCCTCACCTACTCTTTTCTGAAGTTACCTGCTTGTTTTGCAGATGCGACTGGAGAAGGACAAATTTTCTGTAAATCTTGATGTGAAGCATTTTTCCCCCGAGGAGCTAAAAGTGAAGGTGCTTGGGGACATGATAGAAATTCATGGGAAACACGAGGAGCGCCAGGTACTTCTACTTTAACTGTAAGACTGATAGTCAGTGTGAACTTCCTCATCTATGGTTAAACAAGAGGACTGCAAAACGATCCTCTCCAGTGCTCATCTCAAATACTTCTAATGCTTTTTATCAACCAATCCTAATGGAAGATGCTCTGTGCAACCCCTCAACTGCCCAGACTGGGCAACAACAGGGTGGAGATTTAATGCTGGTATTACAGGAACTGTGAACTAACTGGAAAATCATCTTTGAAATGGGCAATTCTGGACCTCCCTCTTTCTGGGAAGAGGCCAGGAATGCAGGGAGGCATTCAACAAGCTATCAACAAACTGTAATAATTAAACCACATAATGAATCAGTGCACTGCCCTGTTCTGTTACCACGAGGCTACTTCTTACTGGAAAAGGCCCATCTGTCAGTTTGCAATCCTTAAAGGTTGTGTTCATTCTGCTGTTAGTCATCCCACTGCTTTCTGGCTCTGGAGACCTGTGTGGCAACTGGGCAGACAGAAGTCAAAAACAATGTCCAAAACTGTACGTAGCAGGGTTAGCAAGTCCCATCTCCCTCTCACCTGCTGCCCCCCACTTCCTTGCCAGAAGGAAATGAATATGCATGATAAAGTAGCTACGTCACTGGGATTGTCAGCTCTAAGAGCTTCTGGGAGCACAGATCTGTCAGTCAGGAAATACAGCATTACTTGTTGCTGGTGGAAGCCTCTAATCCTGACACAGCTTCTGCAAATTCTTTTGGGTAAGAAAACAATCAAGCACTATAGCAGAGATCAGCTCCCTAGGAAGCTGTGTATTACTAGAGCTCTGGAGCCCCTCGGGAACAGGCGTGGCTGGCACTGCATGTAGGTCTAGCTGCTGCATCTTAGGAATGACAGCACACCACTGGGCAAGGAAGCCAGTCTCTATCTGGCACAAGAGCTGGAACATAAAGCCTCCTCCTGTAAACAGTGCAGGCACCTGCAGCCTAGGCAAGGCAGTGTCTCACTTTGGCCAGTCTTGGCTCTTTAAAAATGGCATCTCATAATAAAAACTCTTAACTTTCTGTAAAGTTTTCCTTTGAGAGCTGGAGCTTCCTAGTCTCAGACTTTATGCAAAGGGCCCATGGTTTAGGTGGAACTGAGTGAACGTTTCTAATCAGGGCTGTTCCTTCTCTTCTTTTGAAGGATGAGCATGGCTTTATTGCCAGGGAGTTCAACAGGAAATACAGGATTCCAGATGATGTGGACCCTCTGACCATAACCTCATCTCTCTCTCTGGATGGCGTCCTGACTGTGAGCGCACCAAGGAAACAAAGTGACGTCCCTGAGCGCACTATCCCTATCACCCGTGAAGAGAAGCCTGCCATTGCAGGAGCCCAGAGGAAGTAGGCCACTATTTAAAGTCACCCTGGGGGCCATTCAAGAGTACTTTTCATCAAATGCCAGATATACTGAATGGCTACTCTTATTATTTATGCTAAGTAAGTTCACTAACAAATAAAACGTGAATAAGCAGTTTGTATTTTCTTGTTTTGAGCACTGAGGACAAGGGAAGTGTTGGGACAAGAAAGCTGTGTAAGGTTGCTGGGCAGGGAAGCATACCTGGCATCATTCTTGCTCACGGCTTGAGTGGCAGGTGTGTCCAGGAGAGCTTGTGTTGGTGTTCAGAAACACTTTGCTAGCTTCACTTCATGTACTCCAGTGTTTTGCAAACACCTAATTGCATCAGCCTTTTCCTTCAGTGTTGCCAGAGGATTTCAGGGTGTTTCACAAGCAATAGAAAAGTTTCTCCAGTGGAGTTTAGACTGGTAAAACAACTTCATGACAATCGAAACCCATTCGAACTGTGGGTATTAGTTAACAACCGAATGGAAGACAACTATATCTTAAATCTCTAGAATGACTCATGTTATGGAGAAGTATCCAAGTGCTGCAACCAATTCAGAGCAGTTGCAGATGAAAACTGCATAGCTGTATTAAACACAGATATAACCAGAGGAGAAAAATATCCTGCTCTTATGGTACAAATCATGTCCATTTGAAACTATGTTGTCAGTGCCCTTCAAACAATGGACAGGATCTGACGTCTATGGTATTAATCTGATTTATGCTAATATTATTGAGTGGTACAAAACACTACTAAGTCCTTCTCAGGTGTCATCATCTGCTTAGCACCTCTCTTCAAAGGGATATGAGCATAAAGGAAAGTCTGTATTACTGGAATTGAATTTCTAAAATTCATCTCCAAAAAGAACAGAATGTCGTAGATCTGTTGCACATGTTCCTCATACCTGCTAGGACGAAAGTTATATGAGAAGGGATCAGTTTAAATCTCAAATGAACTGAGAAGACATCCTTCTTCCATGGCTTTAAGTGAGAAAAATAAAATGAGCACTCAGTGATGTGGGGTCATTGTCAATTACCCCAAATCCCACCTAATTGCCAAGGTCTAGTGTCTCCTATTAGCTGGTTCTAATAAGCTCTTCCCGTTAAGGTGTTAGTTAGGCTTGACTGACAAGGCACACAGCGACTGTGTCACCTCTGCACACGAAACAAACAACAGAAACGCACATATGTTACAAACAATACAGCTAACAATACAGCTTACAAAGCAGGAAGAACATTTTTCACATGATGGTACATTTGGCTTTAATGTGTGACAGGTCTTTTTGATTGAAGGATATCCTTGTAGCACTGCTAGCAAACAGGCCTCCTGTTTTTCTGAAGGCATAATGTGCAGATTCTCTCCACCTCTGTTGCTTTTCGTGCATCCTTCTTATTCCTTCTCTGAGTGCTGGACACAAGCAAAGAAAATGCTGCCATATGGAGGCCTGTAGTCTCTTGTGTAACAGGATTGAACAGTTGGGCTGAATGAAGGAGGTTCCATCTCATGGTGGTGGCCTGGAAACCAATGAGGTTCTTGTTCAAATCCTAGAAGAATAAACACAAAAAAACTTGAGGAAGTGCAAAAGAGTAAGAACATATCCAGACAGTGCAAGAGAGGGAGATCTTTTCTACAGAGCAGGGTTTTGTTAGGCTCAAACTCAGGACCAAGAAATGGGAATTTTGAGTGAAAGCTCATTGGGGATAAATGTGATGAGGTTATCTAGACAAGAACACTTGAAATGGAAACACCACTCCCTGAATGACTTGAAATACCTGTTCTGTGGTGGCACAGGAGCACAACTCAACAATGAGAACACGACAGAAAACAATTCTGTCATCTCTAAGCACAAATGTCATTCAGAAGCTCCTCTTTAGCTGCACTAGAGATCTAACAGACTATGTTTCTGTTCTGTGCACATACTGTTTATTCTCTGATACTCTCCCATGTTGTAGTCTGAATAGTATGTTGTTTCAAAGCAGTGAGTATACTGGAAAGAAAAATTCACATTTAGTATGGCTAAATATAAGTAAAAAACGTGAAGATTTTATATCCAACAGGAAGACCAAAGTATCTGCAATTGCACTGCTACTTTCAAATCAGTCTAACCAAAGATCACAAAGCTTCAGTGATGACATTTTTGATTCACCCTCTGAACAGCAAAGGACAGAGAGCTGGACTGGGGCCACTGGTACAAGGAATAAGAATAAGTTTAAACAAAAAAGCATTCCTCACATCTTTATACCTGTAGTGGAACTGTTGTAGGGCACTCACCAGAGAAAAGAGTGCTGACTGTTGCCTTTCTCCATTTTTAAAAAACAGTAGAAAAGACTAGGAGCAGGGCTGCAGAAAGGGAAGCTACTCTTGAGAGACTTACCTCTGATGTATTCGTAGCTGGGGATGGAAAGGATAATGCCCTGTGCACATGACAAATTAAGTGACCAGTGATCAGCTCAACTGAGATTTGCTATATCCACAATAAGGAAAAGTACAAGGACATACCTGGGAAGGAAGTGGATTGGGCTGTACAGTTCTCTGGATCTCGTATTGTTCTTCATTCCAGTCTTCCATAAGGGCTTTCTCTGAGTAATCATTTTCATTGGTGGTGCACCTCCAGCCATGCTGGGAAAATTTAGAAGTGCAGTCCCAGTCCATCCACAGTTCCCTGTGGCCAGTAGCATGCATTAAGGAGCCATGGAGGGAGTTGTACTGACAGATCTTGGACATGTTCTGGCAATATAAATCAACAACTCCCTAGGCTCACATTGAGTATCAACAGCAGGTAACACGACAAGTAATGTTGCCCCTTCCACCTCCATGGTGACTGGAGAGGGACCTACTATACCTACATGTGACAGGGGGCATTGCAGAAGAACAATGTTCCTTCTTGATGCCAAAAAGCAATTTTTTTTTTTTTTTTTTCGTTTGGGAGGTAGGGGAGGGAGGTGGTACAGCAAGTATTTATTTTCCTCAACTGTGATACTGTGGTTCCCAGATTCAGGTTACTGAATACCTCTCAGAGGAACTTTGAAATAGACAAAAGTGATTTACCCAAGGCTGCAGTGACCTAGTGCCTGAACCAGGACCAGACCTCATAAAATGCTGGCAGTAGGTCTCCTGGAGATTGACAATTTTAAGCCTTTCACCCATGTGACTCCTGAAACACTGTCCTTGCCCCGTGCAGCAGCTGCGGGCACACAAGCAGAACACGCAACAGTAAAGCATCGCTATCCTCGAGATCTCAAGCCCTCGCTTGCAGCGCAGGCACCGCGGCGGCCCGCCACTTCCAGCTCCTGGCCTCGCCAGGGGCGCCGGCGGCCTTGCGGGCCCGGCGCAGAGGGTCCGTGAGGGCGGCCCGCAACGCACCGCGGAAGCGCGGGGCCGCGGCCGGGCCCGGCAGCCCGGAGCCTCGCAGCCGGCGGGGGCGGTGCGGCCTGACGCCACCGGCGGGCGACGAGCGCAGCGGTCCGTGACGGGGCACGTCATGAGGGAGCGCCGGCGGCCCGCGAGCGCCGGCCTGCGGGCTGGCTGCGGACATGGCGCCGGCGCGGCGCGTCCTGCTGCTCGGGGAGGGCAACTTCTCCTTCGCGGCCTCCCTGTGCGGGGCCGCGGGGACCCACGTCGTGGCCACTTGCTACGAGAGCGAAGAGGAGGTGTGCGGGCGGCGGCGAGCCGCGGAGAGCATCCGGCGGCTGCGGGAGAGAGGTGAGTGGGCACCGGCGAGGCTCGGCCGGGCGGCGGGGAGGGAGGGAGGGAGATGGCGGGGGCCCGGGAGCAAGGCGACGTAGGGGACCGGGACGGGGAGAGAAACGGTGTCGCTGGTATTGAGCCGTTAGCTGTAACCTCTCTCCTCGTTGCGGTCGAAGCGAGGCTCTACAGCGGCAATGCCGTCGTTAAATCCGGGACCTGGCGCTGCGGTGCCTCCGGAGGAGCTGTCCGTCCCTTGATAGCTTGTCACCGCTCCAGACGTCTCAGCAGACCGCTTTTGCCACGAGGAATTGGAATTGTCCGAGAGACTAAATCGAATACCCTAAAATCTAATCAGACTGAAATAGCACTGCAAGAAGTGGCCAAGGAGCAGAAGTCTCTGCAGGAGAGCAGAGGGAGCTTAGGCTTTCTGGTTTTCCTAATGCACGTGACTGGGAAGATGCCTGGAAGCTGCTGCTCTGATATGCTTAAAGATGGACTAGAGGACTTTAATTGCTACCTTTCTTTAAAATTTTCAATAATGATAAACACCAGAATCTTGTTTTTCATTTACTTTTGAAGGAGCTGAAGTTGTGTTTTCTGTGGACTGCACCAAGCTAAATGACTATTTTTTACCAGAAGAAAGAGAATTTGATTGTATTTATTTCAACTTCCCTCACTGTGGGAGAAAAGCAGGGGTAGTGAAGAACAGAGAGCTTCTTGCCCACTTTTTCCATAGGTGAGTAAACCAGTAGTTCTATGCTAATTGACTGCAGTGGTACAGATTTCTAGCTGTGTTACAGGTGTTTCTCTTGCACTAATAATTTTGGGGTGTGCTAGCAGGATTTTTCTTGTTGACTGGCTTTTCTTCCAGCTCCTCAGAAGTGCTGACAGAGGAGGGAGAGATCCATGTGGCTCTTTGCAATGGACAGGGTGGGACACCTGCTGATCAACCAAAGAGAGAATGGCACAACAGCTGGCAAATTGTGGCTGTGGCAGCAGGAGCTGGATTTATCTTGAGTAACATTCATCCTTTTAAAGCAGAGACTATCCATGGATATAAGTGTACAGGCTACAGGTAACCATCATATGGCAAAACTGAAAAGCTGAAATTCATGCTCTTATAATGCCTAGCACTACTATGTTCTTTTAGTATCTTCTTTGTTGGAGAGAGGAACTTCCTTTAATTTTCCTTAAGATAGCTGCAGTTCTTTTTCACCTTTGAGCAGAATAGCCAAGATAAAAATGCAAGCTTTTTGCCAAAGTACTCTCTAAAAAATAAGATTATCTTAAGATTTTAAAGGGCAAAATGGTCCATTTCAGAACAAACGTCAATCTCGGCCTAAAGACAGCAAGAAGACTGTGGTATGTGTATCTGCCTGGCAATCACAGAATCACAGCATGTTTGATGTTGGCAGTGACCTCCAGCAATCATCTAGCCGTACCCCACAGCTGAAAGCAGAGCCAGCGAGAGCAACTTGCTCAGAGACACGTCTCCAGGGATGGAGACTGCATAACCTTTCTGTGCAACTTATTTCAATGTTGGACCATCTGCCCAGTAAAAATATGGTAGTGTTGCATTTTTGTCACCTTGTAACAAGACCTGGGATTCAACAAGAGATGTGTTAGTATTACACAGAGCTGTCTGTGTAATGCTTACTTGTGACATGTTATATATAGGAAATGATCAATGACTTTGCTCCACTTTTGTGTATTGTCAGGAGTCAAGATAAATCTTTCCGTGTAGAGGGTGCTTTAAACCACATTTTCACACGAAGCATGCCACTTCCATATTTCAAACCTATGATCTGTGAGATGGAACTGAAAAGCCGAAAAGTTTCTTTTCAAGTACCACAAGTACTCGTGGATAAAATTAATAGGTAAGTTTTATAATTAGTTTCTGTTTGGCAGTAACACACGCTTCTGCTCTCAATGGGAATGACCATCATAGATATCAGATAAAATGGAATTGCTTCACTTTCCCTCCTTTCCCCTTTACCAAATTTCTGTTCCATTTCTTCTTCAAGTCTGCTTCATGCTGGCTTTTGGTTACAGCCTACTTAAAAATAAGTCTACAGAACAAGAAGAAACTTTGTGGTTGAGACCAAGCTGCTCTATACTTGAATGCACAAATAAAGGTAAAAACTTCAATCTATTTTACTGTACTGTGGAAGAAATTCAGGAACTGACTTGGTGTCTGCTAATGCCATAATACTAAGGCTAGCTTGGATAAAAAATGCTAATGTCTTTGGCAAACTGCTGCGTACTTCAGAGACTATCCAGAGCGAGCATAATTTGATTAATTTCTGTAGTGTGGTAATGACTGTGCTGAGCGGAAATGGTGATGCTGACTGTTAAGTTCCATTCCTTTTTTACCAGTGAAAGTGAAGTTAATTCTTGATTGCAACCTGGAGACAAACACCACTGTCCTGAAAATGTGTTAGTCATTGCAACACCCCTGATGAAAGACTTGACTTGTGCAGGTAGTTACTAGAAACTGGCTTAATGTCTGAGATTGTTTGGGGTAAATCGCTGCACTCAGATTATAGTCACAGGAAGGCATTTCAAGGAAATCTGTTTAGTGGTGTCTGTAATTTACACTTTTATTTTTCACAGGGGTTTCCTAGAACAAAATTCAAATCATCCAGTACGGACAGTAAAGGAGAAGATCACTGCAGACCTCAGCCAAGCCTTTCCGTTACAAAACATTGACTGCTGCCTTTCTCTGCTCCACCAAGGTCACCTCAATGATGTTTGTCACTCAAATATCTTTTGGATCATTCTGAGCCCAGAGGACACTCCAAGTACTGAAGAAATGTCTAACGGACTGGTGAATGAAATTTTATTTTCCCATGTTGATTTTAGCAGGGACACAGATAAAAATGGCTGGGTGAACATAGAAGAGGGATGCCACATTTCAAATCAATATTATCTTAGACCTTCCCTTCTACCTTATGCTCAGGCAATAATACAAAGAGGAGCTTTTCCCCTGGGGACACTTCATGCTCTTTCTGGCCCCGTATTCAGGAAGTGTCTTATCACTCCTTACTCCATGCCTGTTTTTCATGAGATGGTTTTTGTATGTGCAGTTAACAGGGGTACAGAGAACAGCTGTATCCAGATGTTGGTGAATAACATGAAAACCAGCATACATTGTCTTCACCAGACTGTTTCCGGCTTTCAAGTTAATATTGATCTACAGGAAGCAACGAGCTTTGAAACAACTGAGCTAAATGACTTTGCTGCTTTTGAATCTCAGCTTAGTAAAGTTCAGTACATCATCTGTGTGGAGATGGATACTTCAGGCTTCTCTAAGAAGGGGTCCTGTGTGGGAATTATAAGGACAGCTTATTATGAACTAGAAAGCAGTGAGTTGGTTGTTGTCTTTGCTTCACTGAATCTCGACCTACTAGCCATGCTGATCTGTGGAATATCTGACTGGCGAATGCTCTGGACATCAGACACGCGGTTCCTCCATCAATTTCCTAGAGGAGAGTTAAGGCTTTTCAAGAATTTTTCTCTCTATCCACCTTCCTACGTGCATGATGTCAGCTTTTGGGTTCCTGACGGGGAGCAATTTGATGAAGTTGCTTTTCACACCATTGCTAGGCAGGTGTCAGGTGAAACGGTTGTATCTATCCAGTTAATTGACAGTTTCCAGCAGCCAGAGACGGGACGGAAGAGCCTCTGCTACAGGCTGACCTTTCAGTCCTGTGACAAGGCACTGAGCCGCCGGGAGGTGGCAGAGAAGCAGTTGCTCTTTCGGAAGGAAATTGAGCAATGCCTGTGTGTAACTCTTCGGTAGACCGTGGTACATTGTTCTCAGGTGCACGAGCAGTGCCCGCGCTTGCTGCCGATGTGGAAAATGCAGCCAACATCCTGTCGGACCTAACGCTCCGTGTTATTGCAGTGCTTCTCCCAAAGGCGCTGTGGACTTCAAGTACCTGCACACATTCAACATGGGGAAATTCCTCTTAATGAAGATCAAGCACCTTCCCGTTCTGCGTGTGTGTAATGAAACCTCATTTTGAAAAGTGGAGTCTTTCTTTGCTAGGGTGCTGTGAGGCTGGGCTTGATCTCCTTACTGCTGCCACTTCACTTTTCCTATTCTTGTGTTTGCCGAGCACTTTGTACTGGTGGCAACTGTATCGAGTAAACTGGAAGAAGGAGGCTCTTACTACTTCTGAAGGGTTGTGTACAGTTTGAGCACTGAAAGCTCTCTCTGGGCAGCTGCTCAGTCCCAGTGGGAGGGCGGTGTGTGCTGGGCTGCCCCGTGCAGCATCTCAGAAGGGGGGCCAGGGCCAGTGCTGGGCCTGAGGGGACCCCAGCCACGTGCACCAGCACACTATTTTCTGAATAGCTAATGCAGAAGGTAATCGCAACTGGCAATTCCATTACTAGACTCCAAAGGGCACTAACTGATGCTATAAGGCAGCTGTAGCACCGGTGGTGTGTTAATCGCTACAGCTGATCTAATGGCTGACGAAACACGCCAGTCACAGACCCCGTTACTGGAACCTGCGGGGACGCGCCGGGGAGCGGCGGCAACAGCTCGGCAGGCGCTAATCGGGCGGCCCGTCCGCCGACAGGCGGTACCGACCCTACGGGCCGCGGCCGTTGCCGGCGCCGCAGCGACTCCTCGGCGGCTGCCGCAGCCCCGGGGCAGCGCTGCCCGGCGGCTCTGGGGGGCCCGGCCCCGCCGCAGCCCTCGGGGCGGCCGCACGGCGGGGGCGGGGCCGGCGCTGCGGGGCGGGCAGCGAGGCGCGAGGGCTGCGGCGGGCGCGAGGCGCGTGCCCCCTCCGCCGCGCGGGGCGCGGGCGTCGCGCGCCGAGGGCGCCAAGGTCGCGCGCCTGTGTGAGGGGGGGAGCGGGCGTCGCGCGGCTGTGTGAGGGGGGGAGCGGGCGTCGCGCGGCTGTGTGAGGGGGGGAGCGGGCGTCGCGCGCCTGTGTGAGGGGGAGAGCGGGCGTCGCGCGCCTGTGTGAGGGGGGGAGCGGGCGTCACGCGCCGAGGGCGCCAAAGTCGCGCGCCTGTGTGAGGGGGGGAGCGGGCGTCGCGGGGCTGTGTGAGGGGGAGAGCGGCCGCCTGAGGGGAAGGGGAGCGGGACCCGCCTGGGGAGGGGTCGGTGCCGGCGGGGGAGGGTCCGCGATCGCCTCGGGGTCGGCCGTCGCCGTCGTGGGGAGGGTCCGCGATCGCCTCGGGGTCGGCCGTCGCCGTCGTGGGGAGGGTCCGCGATCGCCTCGGGGCGGGCGGGCGGGCGGGGGTCGTCCATCGCCGTCGCGGGGTTCGCCTTCGGGGAGTCGGCGAGCGCTGAGGGGGGGACTGGCGCTCAGGTGCCGACCCGGGGGGGCGCGGTCAGCCATCGCGTCAGGGGATGCGGAGGGTTCAGCCCCCGCCGGGAGCGGCCAGGAGCCCGGAGCAGCAGAGAGCACCTCGCACTCGTCCCTGCGGGAAGGACCGGATCGACAATTCAGTGAGAAAAGCTGATCCGTGAGTTTTTTTTCTGGGGAGGGTGGGGGGTTAGGGTAGAGGGGGTAGGTGTGGGAGGACGGCCGGGGGTCGGGTGGTGCTGTGGAGACCTCCCTCAGGGGCTCGGCGTTCCTCACGTTCCTGACCGCATCCTCCTGCCTTTGCACCAGCTGGTGGAGCAGAGAGGAGGCATCCATCCTGTGGCACTTGGAGGCGAGAGAAGCGGAGAAAGCCCGGGAGACCAGCGGCGGAAGGAGAAAGGCACTCTGGGCAGAGGGACCTCCCTGTCACCGGGGCTGGGGTCACAGAAGAGCAGTGCCAGCGCCTTTGGAGCCCTGGCTGGCGTTACACCGGGCGACCTCCCTGTAACCAGGGCTTGGGTCTTTGCTTTTGCTGGCCTTGTGCCATGTTGCCCCGTGGTTTGGCTGCTCGGAGGGAGGGGCAACCCTGTAAGGAGGGTGAGAGCCACCATCTCCACATGCAGAGAGCAGGGGGAAGCAGGGTTCCAGAAGACATAGTGTTGTGCTGCAGCCGGGACGGCCAGCCCATAACTCGGGAGTAGGTTGAAGCCTTGAGCTCCACGGGGTTTATTGAACCTGCCGAGCCAAGGGGGACCACCCTGTAAGCAGGGCTGTGAGCATCCCCTGCGCTCAACGGGAGGTGCTGGGAGGACCCCCTGTAATCAGGCGGGAGTCCCTGGCCCCAGCCTTTCAGAGGCGTGGGGCTGGGCGTGCCCTTCCCTAGCCTTCTTTCTCTCTGCTCTCAGCCCCAGGAGCGGCTTGGGAGAAAGAGACTTGTGGGGCAAGGCGGGAGGCTGAGGGGAAGAGGCCCTCTCCGGGCATTTGGGATGTACCTGCAAGCGGATCCTGGGTCCTCCCCGGGCAGCCTTTGGCCCTGCCGGGGCAGCCCTGGCACCGAGAAGCCATTTTAGGGCCCTGAGTTGGGCCGCCACCCCGGAAGCAGGGCTGGGGTCTCTGCGGGTTTCTCTCCCTCCAGGTCGCTGGGTACCATGGCAGTGAGAAAGGTGGCTGAGCCCGGGGGGGTACGGGGTGGAGGGGGGAGGGATGGCTGTGGGTTGGGGAGCGGTGTGGGGACCTCCCTCCGGGGGTCGGCTTCACTGTCCTCCGGGTGGAGGAGCTGGTGCTTGACTGCGCCCTCCTTCCAGGCAGCGGCTGCCGGAGAAGAAAGACGGCACGGTGTGGAGCTGCGAGGCAAGAGTGAGTGAGGGGAGGACCGGCGGGCTGAAGAGAGGGAAAGGGGAGGGTGCTCTGGGCAGAGGGACTTCCCTGTCACTGGGGCTGTGGTCACACAAGAGCATTGCCAGCACCTTTAGTAGCCTGGCTGGCTTTGCACCGGGCGACCTCCCTGTAACCAGGGCTTGGGTCTTTGCTTTTGCTGGCCTTTTGCCATATTTCCCCATGGTTTGGCTACCCGGAGAGAGGGGCAACCCTGTAAGGAGGGTGAGAACTGCCCTCTCCACACCCGAGGGGGAAATGGAGCTCTGCGGACCCCAAGCCCACCCTGTAAGCAGGGGAGGGCCGTTCCCTCGGCCCCGGCGGCTTTCTGCCTGCTGGCGGCCTGGCCAGCGAGACAGCCCTGTACCCGGGGCATGTGTCACGTGTCACGCCGTTTGCCCCTTGGCCACCCGGGAATCCCCTCGGCATGTCGAGGCCCCTCTGGCCCCCATGCATCCCGGGGGGCAGGTCTCAGGCTCTCCTCTCCTGCTCGGTGGAAGGGATGGCTCCCCAGACATTGGCTGCACAGAGCTTGCTCCCTCTTCTGGGAAGTTCTATTTTTCCCTGGTCTGTGTCCATGTGTGTGTCTGCGTCCGTATGAGTGTGTGAGTGAATGAGCTTGTTTAGGCCCCCCCTTAAAATCGCTGCAGCGCACTTAGCTTAAACTTCCCAGGAGGGAAAGAGGGGCTCTGTGCAGTAACAGGGGGTCCCCTCTGAGCCCACGAGCGGAGGGAGGGTCCAGGCTTACCCCTCCTTTCTAGAGGACAGAGCGAAGCCGCTTAGTCGTAGCGAGGGCGAGGTGACCTGCCTGTAGTCCGGGCCTGGGTCTCTGCCTGTGTGGCCGCCTGTCCTGCTGGCGAGCTGCCAGCGTGACAGCCCTTTACTGGGGGCGTGTGTCACGAGCCGTGGAGCCCTGTGTCCCCAGGAGCAGCCCGAGCCCCCTGTAAGCAGGGCTGGAGCGGCTGCTTTAGCCAGCCAACAGGAGCGAGCCCTCCCTCGCCCTTTAGAGGGTGCAGGTTGAGGAAGCGCTGTGCCCGAGGGCTCGGTCCCCCTGCCCTCGGTGCCGCATTTGGCTGGGGTGACCTCCCCACAGCTGGGGTCGAGGTCCTAAAGACGCAGTGTTGTGCTGCAGCCAGGACGGCCAGCCTGTAGCTCGGGCGCAGGTCGGAGCCTCGGGCTCTGTGGATTTTGTTGGGAGTGCTGTGCCGAGGGGGACCACCCCGTAAATGGGGCTGTGCGTGTCCCCTGCGCTTCAAGGGACCCCCTGTAAGCAAGCGGTGTCCCTGGCCCCAGCCTTTCAGAGGCAAAAATTGGCATGTTGTGTCCTCTTAACATTAAGAGAATTGGAATGGCGTCTAAAAATGTAGGGACCGGCACTGAGCCAAGTACCTCCTCCCGAGTCCTAAAAACCATCCCAAAAGCGCCAAGGACGCTCTTGTATGGCAGCAGCTCTGGTGACAGGGAGGTGCCTTTGCCCAGGGCGCTCTTCTTTCAGCCTGCTGCTCCTCCTCTCGCTCGCTCTTGCCTTGCAGTTCCGCAGACGATGGATGCCTCTTTTTTGTTTCTTCTCTGGGAGCTGCTGCCTGGAAGGGGGGCGCAGTCAAGCGCTAGTTCCTCTGCCTGGACAGCAGAGGGGAGCTGGCCCCTGGAGGGACCTCCCCGCAGCGTTGTTCGGCCCCTGGCCGTTTTTCCCCCCTCCGCCCCGTACCCCCCTGGGCTCAGCCATCTCAGAGCTGCTTTTTGCTCATGGTGTGGTGCCCCGCTGCCTGGAGGCTTAAAGAGCAGAGGCCCCAGCTCTGCTTCCGGGGAGGTGGCCGAGCTCAGGCAATAAAAGAGCCAGGGCAGCACCTGGGCCCCTCTTGCAGGCATGTCCCCTCAGCTTCCTGCTCTCCCCCTTGCTTCTCCCAAGCTGCTCCTGGTGCTGTGAGCAGAGGGACGGGGGACTGGGGTACGGCAGGGCAGGGCAGCAGATTCAGGGTGGCAAGCACTACTCGCAGGCCCTAAATGCCAGCTGCTTCCCAACCAGCTGCTCCGCATTGATGCGGCAGCTTCTCCCAAGTGATGAGGAACCCCCCTCAGTAAGTTCTTCTGCCCAGGTCCCCAAAACCTCCCGGGAAAAGCCCTTGCCAAAGTCACCAGCCACCGCTACCCATTCCCCTGCCTCCAGGGCAGAAAGTGCCCAGCACTCTCGATAGTGTTTAGCTGGCAGGTGGTGTCGGGTGGCCATGCCGTTAACGGGGTGTGGGTCAGGGTGCCCCTGAATCGGAGAGAACAGGTGTCTGTGGGCCTTTGGACCGTGGCTGCCCTGTAAGTCGGGGCCCAGCCAGTGCCCTGGATTCCCGAGCACTTTGCAGTTCAGGCCGTGGCTCGAACCCCCTGTAAGCAGGGGTGCAGCCTCTTTGGCCGCTGCTTTGCATGCCCAGCGCCATTTGCCCGGAGTGCCCGCCTCCGAGCCCAGCTCCAGCACCGGCTGGAACTCCGCAGGCGGCAGTGTTAGCGCTCGTGGGAGCACCGGAGCACCAATTTGGTGAGAAAATCCGATCCGTGAGGTTTTTTCTGGGGAGGGTGGGGGGTTAGGGTACAGGGGGTAGGTGTGGGAGGACGGCCGGGGGTCAGGTGGTGCTGTGGAGACCTCCCTCAGGGGACAGCATCCCTTTTGGTCCACACTGCGTCCTCGTGCC